CCACGGCGGGAAGTGGGAACATGATGGGGGAGTCCTAGGGCTCAAGATAACCTAACTCCAAAGGGCACTGGAAGGGTGGGGGCTGGGGCATCTCCAGGGGGTGCTGTGGGGTGCCTGGGGTAGGATGGGGAACTTCAGGGCAAGCTATGGGAGGATTGGGGCGAGATCAGGCAGATCCAGGGAGGCCATGGGGGCCCAAGGCAACCCCAGGGGGCGTCATCGGGGGCGGGGCAAATCCATGCGATGCCACGGGGGGTGGAGCGGGCCTTACTTTGCCATTCTCAGTTTCCGCGGTGACCTTGCCACCCTCGCGGGAGGTGATCTTGGCCTTGACAAACTCCTCCTTGACATCAGGCACGAAGACGTCACGCTTGAGGTCAAAGGGGCGGGTCTGGGCCTCCACCCGCTCCTTGTCCGACTTGCGCAAGTAGGGGGCGGCCTCCCCGAATTCTGCCATCTCCGCATCTCCCATGGTGCCTCTTGGGGAGCAAGGGAGGGCTTGTGAGCCAGGCATGGCCGGGCCAGGGCCTCGAACCCCTGGCCTGGAGGCTGGAGGGCCCGGGTGGCAGCTGCCTATAGGAACATGCATTTCCTGCTGCGATCCCACCCCAGAAGTAGTCGCATCTCGGCCCTACCTTGTGTGTCCTGGTGGGTCCTGGAAAGAGGAAGGTGGTGGCTGGGTCTGTCCCCGGGGCTGGAGTCCTGGCAGGGGAAGGGGTCAGTAGGGAGCGGTGGAGACCTCCCCCGTGTGGGCGCAGCCCCTCTGACCAGGCCCGGACAGATACACATTGTACATGCAGGGAGGTGCACGTGGACCACACACACATATAAACACTGGCTACACACACATGCCCCCCCCCACAGATGGCACACACAAGTCCACACACGCACAAGCACCGATTGGACATTCACTGTGCACACGAACATACACATTGCACACATGGATTGCACACATACACATCTGCACATGGATGACACATGCCACTTGCACAATTGAGTGCCCTACACACTTATAGAGAGCACACACATGTGCAAGGACACATGTGTAGCATACACATTGCACAAGTGCCTACATGGATTGCACATGCTAGTCCACACACAAACACAGATCGCACACACATTGCCCACATACATGTTCATACAGATTACATGCACACGTACATGCAGACTGCACACACACACACAACCACACACGTGCGTAGACACACGGATTGCACACACAAGTGCACACATGCAAACATAGGCCCCACACATGCAAGAACACATGCCAATTCCACATGCAGGCGGTGCACTCACACAAGTACACACCTAAACACAGATCACACACACAGACTGCACAAGCACCTATGCTCACAGACACACACCCCAGTACCCACATGCGTGTCCACACAGATTGTACATGCGTGTGCTTGTAGACAGCGCAAGTGAGGGCATCACAGATGTATGTGGCTTGCACACACAGATGGCACCCCTTCACGTTCACATCCCTGAGCGCACCCCCCCTCGTACACACACACATGCATGGATACGCACATGACACCCCCCCAAACAAGGTACCCAGG